GTTTCGACGTTCCCTTAGAATGCAAATGTCGGTATTTCAGCATCGCCTTGAGAGTGCAAACTACCTCTAATAGTGATAAACACGAGTATTTAATTTTTACATTTTAGCTTATTCTATTAGAGCTACTTACTTTATCTCGCTTTTTGTCGAACCCAGGAATAACCGACAAGGTGGCGAGAGTTTATCTTTATTTTTTTTGTTCTTGTTTTTTATTATTATAATTTTTTTTATATTTTTTTAAATTTAAATTTTTTTTATTTTCTTTATAATTACGTTATTTTTCATTTATATCTATTTTTTCATTTTATTCAGTTCATCTTTGCAGAAATAATATTTTTTAAAAATTCTTGTATGCACAAAAATTTTGTACAACAAGCTCATTTTATTACTGCTACATTATTACCTAATGGCAGATAGTTTCACAATTTTTGAAACAATTTATGGAATTATCAAAATCAAATAGTTTCACTTGCAAATATCCACTTTTATACCATGAATATTTAAATAAATTTATATATAAATAATAAATGATATCCCATAGATTATTCAAAAATTTCAAAAATTGTAGAATTACTTGCGCATTATGTAATAAATAATGTTGCAATAATAAAGTGTGCTTTATAAGTGGTGTGCAAAATCTTTATGCATACAAGAATTGTTTTGAATATCATTTCTGCAAAGAGTACGTACGTACAATAAAATGAAAAAAATGAACATAGATGAAAAGTAATGTAATTGTGAAGAAAATAAGCAAAATTTGTAAAAAATATAAAACAATTATAAAAACGTAAAAAAATATTTTAAAAATAATAGAAAACAAAAACAAAAAATTAAATGAGGATAGACTCTCGCCATCTCGTCGTCGGTTACTCCTGGGTTCGGGCAAAGAGCGAGATAAAGTAAGGAAATAAATAACCAATAAAATGCAAAAATTAAGGGTTTATTTTACCTTGCGGCCCGCAAAAAGGCGATTTTTGGGATTTTTTTCGAGAAAAGTGATCAAGATTACGTATTTTATTGTTGTTACATTTTATTTGTTGTACTTTTCTCTTTAATTTGTAATTTTTTGAAGTCAATTTATTGATTATAAGTCTATGCAAAGTTCCGGTGAAGAAGCCTTTCCGACTTGAACATGGTGCCATGGTGGAAGTACTACAAGTCGCACCAGTCATTCAAAACAGTTAAACCAACGATTTTTCTGTTAAAAAAGAATGTCTTTATGGAATAGATTACAATAATTGATCTTGCGTAAAAATTAACAAAATGGCAGCCATTTGAAAAAAGATTCGATTTTTGACTTTAAATTTTGCTCTTATTTTTTCGATAAAAAAAGTATTATTGACATTGATAAAATCGTAATCTATTTCATAGAGACATTCTTTTTAAACAGGAAAATCGTTGGTTTAACTGTTTTAGATGACTGATGCGACCTAGTACTTCCCCCATTAACGCACTATAAGATGTAGGTATTGTTGAGTAAGTCAGGAAGATGACATTTAATATCTGTACTGTTTTTTTGTATATAAAAGGTAGTTTATTTGTTTTTAAGACACGAACATTGATATTGTTTAATTTCAATGATTGTTTAATATGTAATCGGAGATAACAATATGTAATAATATACGGCGCGCATTCGCCTCGCGTTACTCGGAGATCTATTTGACGCTTGCAGGTTTGTACCCTGTTTGCAGCTTCGTGGCAACGTCTTGCGACGAATACCCAGAGCCTATTTAGCAGGCGACGCTTTGGGTAATATCGTCGCCAGGGACCCGGACCGGACCGAAACCGATAACCGGATCAAAACTGTTATTTTAGTCGGATCGAAACCGAAAACCGGACTGAAATATTATGCAGATTAATGGACCGAACCCATAACCGGACCAAAAACTTTTTTTCCATTTCGGTCCATTTTTCGGTTTGGTTTTCGGTTTGGAAAAAGATATACGATAGTTATACTTCCTAATCAAATCTCACGCCTCGTTTGCTCTCTAATTTTTACTATATCTATGGAATCCCTATTTTATGTCCGGATTGAAATCTTATTAGAAAGCTACAACCAAAAGTAGAAGAGAATCTCAAGAAAAACTAATATCTTGGATTTCTGATAAGAAAAAAGTATGACTCAACCAGAGTTGTACAAATTAATTATCGATAATTGTTCTGACGGTACCAGCCA